AACGATATTGTTCATAAAGTTGTTCGGAGACAAGGTAAAACAACGTTGCATTTAGCATATTTACCAAAGTCTTTGATCTCAACCGCTATGAAAAATTACCACGATCACCCAACAGCATCACACTTCGAGATTTCGAGAACCTGGTATTGGCTACGTGACAAATACTACTGGCCGCAAATGTTTAATACAATTGTATCATATGTAAAAGTTGTATCATGTAAAAGTTGTCAACGATTTAAGTATCGTCGTATGAAACCAAGTGGTACATTAGAACCAATACCACCTCCCGCTGGGCCATTTGAATTAGTAGGATTAGATTATTTAGGGCCATTAACAACATCAGTCAATGGTAACAAGTATTCTTCGCATGAAGAATGAAATCTTCTTCCCATCTTCTTTCGTTATAGAGTTATCCGACGAAGCATATATCACACTGTATTCTGGCGCCCTCTATTACGTTTAAGTTATTTCATTTAATTGTAATAAATTAAACATCTTTTACCTGAGGTCTGACTTTACCTTAGTTGCTACCTACACATACTCGAAACACTGAAAATAAATTAACGCTTGTTTCTTCTCTCATATGATTGGCTAATCCATAAAGTATCTGACGTCCATGTTTGCACATAAACACGCAAGCACATAACTCTTTTCAATAATACCACTGAGTACAAGGTAACGCTCGTCTGCATTCGCTCGGTCCCTTGACTTGATTAACTTGGATCTGCGCAAGAGAATGCCCTTTGGTGACTTTTAAATCTTAGACAATGCTCACGCCTCCCTTCGGTCGGCGCTCGCTGCCAGCCTAACGAAGACATCTGGATTTTTTTCTCTTTTCATGTATCAGATTCGTAATCTAATATAAATATAAAAAGCAAAAATCCCTACAGGTCTAAAACTATTTCTGAATTCAAAACAATGCTCACGCCTCCATTCGGTCGGCGCTCGCTAACTAAGACATCTTCTGCATTTTTTCAGTCGGCGTTCGTAGCCAGTATAGGTGAGAAACGCTATGAACTTCTCTGATTCCGCCAAAAAACCATTTAATGTGATAAAAAGCTAAAAGGCTAGGACATCCTCTGCAGATCCCCATGAGGTTGGAAGTCTTGGCTGTTTATCTCTCTGCATCAGTAGATATTTCAGATGATCTCTTTGAATATTTTCTCTCTTGTGTAAAAAATAATTTTCTGTTCTTCTCTCTTGTGATAGGCTTATCCATAGAATATTTGACAGCCATTTTTCCGTATTTTGCACACAGACACACAGACAACTATTTTGTAAGACCCTAGACTAAAGTCAAGGGAAGAAGGTAACGCTCGGTTCCTTGGATTTAGGAACTTATATCTGCAAACAACTTTCCATAACTTTCAATCAAAGACAACGAATTTTTCTCTGATTTGATATGTAAGCTTCGTAGCCTAGTACCTAAGAAGCTTTCTCGAGGCAATCCGAAGATCCCCAGAGGTTTAAAAATATTTCTAAATGTCAACACAATGCTCACGCCTTCCTCCGGTCGGCGTTCGCAACTAGAATAGGTGAGAAATGTACTGAACTTCTGAGCTTCTCTGACTCCACAGAAAAAGTGCTCTACGTAACATGGAGCTAAAAGGTTTCTGTACACCCTCTAACGGTTCCAAAGAGACCAGTCATATTTTTGATGAATTTCCTGTCATAGGTATTCCACATTCTGTAAGTTTTATTCGTTGTAGAAAACGTTTTTTGTGTTATCAAATTTAGGCTGCTTTCTGTCGGCGTCCCGCGTTGAACTACAGAAACCAATTGTTTCGTTTTTTCGCTGTGCTTCAGTAGATATTTCAGCCATTTCTTTGAATATTTTTTGTCTCATGGGTAGAAAAGAACTTTTTATATTTTTGTCCGTTGTGATTGGCTTATCCATGGAATATCTGCGCAGCCATATCTGCTAACGGCTTTTCATGACTTTTGAATCTAAGACAACAGTCACTCCTTTCTGTGGTCGGCGTCTCCTATGGACCATCTAAAATATGTTGTGAATTTTTCTCTGATTTGATATGTAAGGTTCGTAGATAATCTAATGTAAATCTAAAAAGTGTTCTTGAAATACGCGGAGGTGTAAAGATATTTCTAAATTCAAGATAATCGTCACGCCGATCGAAGCGAGGCGCAGAAGAATAGCTGAGAATGATTGCTGTTATGAGTTTCTCTGATTCCACGGGAAAAGCGCACAAAGTAATATAAAGCTAAAACGTTTTCTGAACATTAACTGAAGATCCCAAATAGGCTAGACATATTTGTTACAGGCCAAATTCAAATTTAGGCCAATTTTAAATTAGTTTAGGCTAAATTCAAATTTTAATTTGGCCTAGTCTAAATTAAAATCGAAGTGCTTGCACATGCTGATTTGAATCTGGACTAGCCT